CGTCGCTTCGATGCAAAAGCTAGGGGCTGAGGCGAGCCAGCGATAACACGACCGAAAGCGTGTTTTTCATCGGCTGTCTCCGGGCGTTCCAGGGTGCAGTTTAAAATCATTATCTGTAATTCGCTTGAAGAAATCAATATCTATTGTCAACAAAAGTTTTGCTAGAGGTATTATGTAAACATTTAGAGTTCATAATCACAAAATGCGTTTTATTACCAAAAACTAACAAGAAATAGCCAGTTTGAAACAGGACCTACACTCGCGTCGTCGACCCGTCAGACTAGCGTTAATAATGTTGAATCTAAATCGGTTTCCGTGATTCTTTCTTAAAAGAAAGAAAAGGAAAAAAAAAAATGCCATGAAACACGAGACTATGGTGAAACAAAGAATAAGTCCTTGTGCTCCATGTTCCTCAAACGAGAAGTACCATGGGCGGTATTCAAGCAGGGGCATGTGCGGTCTATTACGGCAGTGCTTTTCGCAGGTGAAGCACTGAGCCTGGCTGGGCACAAGGTCTATATAAGTACTTATATAGACCTTGGCTGGGCACTCGGACACAAGTCAGGTCCGAGACGAGGACAAGGCCAGTTGAACCGCGCCAGCATTTCCCCCTAAGGAGATCTGAAATAGCGCCCCTAATTTCACCCCGATATTCTGCCCGCAATCTGTTCTTAACATTTCGATAATCCAATTCTTTAGACAGTTGGCCAATGAATCACAACATACAGGTGATGTCAGTTAAAAGAGAAGGGAAAGTACAGAGACCATACCACGTGGCATCAACTGTATCAAGCAAGGCTGATTGCAACACGAGCTTTGCGGAGACAAACGCGAGAGGTCGTTTGGACTCGCAATTTTGACTTTTTAACGGACCTTTGAATTTTCGTTTCTATTCTTTTGATGTGTTTAGTATCATTGTAAACCTTATCAATATTGCTACTGCTGCCTTTATTAATAATAATGTTGCTATTATTATTATTACTATCATCATAATCATTATGATTTCTATTGTTTTGTAATATTTTTACTGTCAGTTATTGTCGTTATTATTTGCAATATTACTATGTATTATACCAATTGTAACACCTGGTTTAAGCTATTTTGAATTTCCCGCCAACGTAGGGTGCTGCCCTCTGTTGCGAGGCGGATGAAAGTGAGACATGTGAGCAGCCATGTTTGTGAAGCTGGTAATGTGCTTTATATAAAACCCTTCAATGTGATGGATTATGATAGTGTCAACACCTGGAAAACGCCAGAAACTGTGAGTTAAACCAGTAGAACCATGTGGACTAGTGTTTATTTAGGATTTTGTATATCTTTCCCTTGCAAACATGACATGAAAGAGGCAACGTTACAGTAACAGTAATATCTGTGATTTATTATTTACCTTTCAAGGCCTTATGTTAATTTCTTATGTTAATTTCAAGATTATGAAGGATAATTATTTAAGTGTTAATGATGCTATATGTTTTCATGTTTCTAAGTAGGCATGTTCTGATTCCTTACAGTTGGACCGTTTTGTAGGACGAATAAATGATCAAACCCAAGAAAACGAGTACCTTAGTTTGGCGTATTTAATTAACCACCATCAACATTAAGAAAGTTAACCAATAAAGCATAACCATAACACAGTTAGGTGTGTTACAGTCCAAAGTTTGGTGTGTAAAGAAGAACTTAGCTGATAAATTGAAAAAAATGAGTGCTGCAAATGATGATGATGCAGGTGGGCCTAACAATGATGTCTCACCACAGGGAAGTACCTGATACTAGTGACCAAGATGTTGATGTTATCGATGCCAAAAAGAAACGTGGCAGAGCCAAGGGACTCTTAACCAAGCAGATGGGGATTATTGACAAGATGACTACTGACATCAACAACATAGCACAAGTGAAGGAGAGGATGGATTCCTTCCCAGAGTCCATAGAAAGGTTTGAGGCAGCTCACAATGAACTCCTAAGATTGCCCACAAACAAGTATGAGCGTTTACAAGCTGAAAATTATAAATCTGATACCATGGGAGAAGTAATAGATTTTCAAGTTGCATTAAACAATTGGATAGCACAACAAGATGAAGGCATCAACATGCCGGAAGGTGAAGAATGGAAGAAGTTGCATGATGTTGCTATAATAGACAATTCGGCACGTACAGACCCTTTCGAAGTTTGTATGGAGGCAGAGAACAAGGCCTTAGAAGATGACATAAAGATTGAGAATGAACTGATATTTAAAAGGGAGAAACAGCAAATGATAGAAGAGCAAAAGAAGTTGAAGGATGAACTTCTCTCTTACCAAGTAGTGGAGAATCAGTTGAACACTGAAGGGTTTGGTCCCACTACACATCAAACTGCACCAATGAATACACCGGGACGCCCAGAAGGGAGCAGCAGATTTCCACAGAGTACACCGAGAGAACCTCAAGTAAAACCCTCAAGAGTATCATGGGAGCCCTCATATATCTCACTGGAAGAGCCAGATAGGAAGACAGCTTCAATTCTAGCAGAGGCTTTAAACTAGATGTTAGATGCGTCAAGAATTCAGCAGCAATCATTGATAGAATCTCTACAGGTACCCAGAGGAGAACTTCAGCCATTTAGTGGAGATGAATTGGAGTATTGGCCATTCATCAGATCGTTTAAAGACACCACTGATTGCTTATCAATCCCGCAGCCCAGAAGTTAGCCTGCTTAAGAAATACTGCAAAGGGCAGGCAGCACTTGCACTGAAGAGTACCTCCTATAAGAATCCTGAAGAAGGTTACAAAAGAGCCTTGGAAATCTTGGAAGAAAGATTTGGAAACCCCTATAATATCACCTGTGCATGGGTGAAGAAAGTTACCAGCAGACCAGATGTAAAGGCGGCAGCTAATTTACGAGAGTATGCTGATGAGCTCAGAAGTTGTGTAGAGTCACTTAAGGAGATGAATTCCCTCAGCCAGTTGGGAAGTGGTGATAATATGCTCAAGATAGTGGAAAAATTACCTTTTTATTTGCAGACCTGATGGGTAAGGTCAACCATGAGATCCGCTCCAGGCACAGGAGAGGAGCAGAAATAGGAGAACTTGTAAGGTTCGTCTGTGAAGCAGCGGATGAGGCGTCGGACCCTGTTTTCGGAAAGTCAGTGAACAAGGATAATAAGAGGGATAAGGGCAAGATTCAGCAGAGCAGACCCCAAAGGAGACAGACAGGAAGTTTTGCTACGAGCTCATGTCACAGAGGATAAATCAGTCATACACGAGGGCAAGAAACAAACAGCCGGAAAGTGCCCTTGCTGTGGTCAAGGACACTTTATGATCAGATGTTCTCAGTTCAGGGCCATGAAAATCAAGGACCGCTGGCATCTTGTAATGTCTAAGGGCCTGTGTGTGAATTGTTTTGCACAAGGACATATAGCCAAGGATTGTTCCGATGACTTCATTTGTATGGTAGAAGGTTGCGGGAAGAAGCACAGTAAGTACCTTCATCTACAGAACAAGAGACCCGGCAGGGATGACGTCATACCAGAAGTAATGCTGCAGGTGCCTGTAGAAGTGACACCAGTTAACACTATCACACAGAACCTCACTATGAGCTCTAGAGTGAGTAACTTTGCCTGCAGTCAGAATGGAAAGCTGGCCTTACCCATAGTACCAGCCAGAGTTAGGTCTTTAGACACAAGTACTAATATTGTCACCTATGCAATGTTGGACCCAGGGACTAATGCTACTTATTGTACAGAGGAGTTTTACGAGATGCTGGGAGCCAGAGGTGTGACCTGTCACATGGAACTCACTACCATTACTCAGAATCTACAAAATCTACAATAATCACTCTTATATTGGACCTTCATGATACAAAGAAGCCTTACTGCGTACCAGAAGTAACTGTCAGACCGATGCTGAACATTGACCTATCAGGATTGTCAAGCCGTGTTGAGGTTCACAGATGGCCACACCTGAAGGATTTAGAAATACCTGAACTAGAAGTGGATCAGGTACACCTATTGATAGGGCAGGACTGTGCAGACCTATTACTGCCTGATGAAGTAAGGAAAGGACAAACAGGAGAACCTTTTGCTATTCACACACCACTAGGCTGGGCCATAAATGGTCCAGTTGATCCACATTTCGTACACTACGTCGTCTTTGGAGTGAGACCTGTGCAGATTGTGGGACATAGAAGGAGTTAACTCGGAAATGCCTGGAATGTCTCAGACTGACCTGAAGATCTTGAAAACTTGGGATAATGGCAAAGCAATTGAAGATAGTCGTTATACTTTGAGTATTCCCTTTAAAACAGAGAGGCCTTACCTGCCTGATAACAGAATTGTAGCGGAAAATCGTTTGAAGATGTTGGGGAAGCGGCTGGATAGAAATGAAGGCCAAAGGGAGAAATACATTAAAGAAATTCACAAACTCTTTGAGAAGGGTAATGCCGAAGAAGTACCTCCTGAAGATATGAAGAGAGCTGATGGCAAGGTATGGTACTTGCCGCATCATCCAATTAAGAACCCCAAGAAGCCAGACAAGACCAGAGTTGTGTTTGACTGTGCTTCAAAGTTTAAAGGATTTTCACTGAATGATGTGAATCAAGGGCCAGACTTAGCTAACAAGTTAGTAGGAGTCCTGCTAAGATTCCGGGAGGGAGCTATTGCCTTAATGGCAGACATAGAGACCATGTTTCACCAAGTGAAGGTGATACCAGATGACAGAGATGTGTTATGCTTCCTCTGGTTTGAAAATGATGACACAAGAAGACCGTTAGTGACATACCGAATGACATCTCACCTATTTGGTGGGGTGTGGAGCCCAAGTTGTGCAAACTACGCATTACAGCATGTAACGAAAGAATTTGAAGAAGAGTATCCACAGGCTGTGTTGAACACTGTCCTACGTAATTTTTATGTAGATGACTGAAATCTGTAAAGACCCTAGAGACTGCAGTACCTCTTGCAAATCAAGTAATACACACTGCATGGAAGAGGGTTTAATTTAACAAAGTTTGTTTCTAACTCACCACTGTTGATGAACAACATAAGCAAGGAGAGGTGGGTAAAGTCTTTTACCACTCTCGATATCAGCATAGACAAACTACCCACAGAACGTGGACTTGGAATGCTGTGGGATACTGAGTTTGACAACTTCAGATTTGATATACAAATAAAGAACAAACCTAGAACCAGGAGAGGAGTGCTTAGTACTCTCAGCAACGTGTATGACCCTTTTGGATATGTAAGCCCATTCATTCTTAAGGCTAGAAGACTGTTTCAGCAGCTGTGTCGATTGAAAACTGGCTGGGACGACTCCTTACCCAAGGACTTGGAGGAACAATGGGGCCGGTGGATGAGAGACCTGCCTATCATTAAAGAGTTTAGCATTGCCAGATGTATTATACCTATAGACAAGTGCGTAAGACTGTTTCAACTGCATCATTTCTGTAATGCCTCGGAATATGGTTATGGAGCAGTTTCATATTTGCATACCATCTATGAAGATCAGACAGCTTCAGTCCATCTCATGATGGCAAAGTCAAGACTTGCACCTTTAAAAGGTTCTACCATTCCACACCTGGAGTTGGCTGAAGCACGAGAAGCAGTAAGATTGGACAAGCTTTTGCAAGAAGAGATGGAGATGCCATTGGAAGAATCTGTGTATTGGACAGATAGTACCATTGTATTGTGGTACCTGCAGAGCTCAGGAAAAAGGTTCCAAACCTCTGTCTCAAATAGAGTAGCCAAGATTTTGGAGCATACTACGCCGACACAGTGGAGACATGTACCTACTTCGGAGAACCCTGGAGATGATGCCTCTAGAAGAATGTCAGCCGAAGAACTTGTTAGTGATGAGCGTCGGTGTAAAGGACCACGATTCCTATACAGTGACCGATCAAGCTGGCCTAGACAACCTTCATTTAATTGTACAGAACTAGAAAGGATGGCTGAAATGAAGCCACCCCTGTATAGTGAATGCCATGAAGTCTGCAGATGATCACACGAGCAAGCTTCTAAGTCACTACTCATTTTGGCATCGTTTGAAGAAAGCAGTAACCTGGTTGCTGAGATTACGCCAATTTCTCCGTAATAAGTCCTATCAGAAGGGACCTCTTGTAGCAGATGAACTGAGAATTGCTGAAGAAGCCATAGTCAGACAATCTCAAAAACAACTTTTTGATGAAAAAACCCAGCTTAGTAAACTGAATCCCAAGAAGTCGGCCTCAGGCTTACTGTTGGTTGGAGGAAGGCTGACTAATTCTAAGCCTGAAGACTGTACCAAACATCAACTGATATTACCGTGTGAGCACCCTGTCTCTAAGCTAATTATAGAGAATATTCATCAGAAAACAGGTCATGCTGGAGTAGAGCGTGTTCTGGCAGACATCAGGAGGCGCTACTGGATCCTTAAAGGAAGAAAACTTGTAAAGATTGTTTACCAGTCCATCACATGTAGGAATCTTAGAGGCAAGACAGAAGTTCAGCAAATGGCCAGCCTGCCAGAATCAAGAGTTACACCATTTGAGCCACCTTTCACTAGAATAAGGTTGGACTACTTTGGTCCATTCATTGTGAAGAGGGCACGCTCTGAAGTGAAGAGATTTGGTTGTATCTTTACCTGCCACTCTATCAGGGCTGTACATATTGAAGTGGCAAACAGCCTAGACACAGACAGTTTTATTAATGCACTGGAGAGGTTTATAGCTAGAAGAGGAAAACCAAAGGAAATTTGGTCTGATAATGGTACCAATTTTGTTGGAGCTCATCTCGAACTACGTCGAGACAGTGGAACGCCAGATCCATGAACACTGAAGAAGGAGATCCTCTCACATGGGTGGAGTCTGGGAGAGGCAAATAAGGACTATCAGAGCTGTGTTAGCAGGTGTAGTGAAACAACAGACTCTGGATGATGAAACCCTAGTGACTCTGATGACTGTAGTAGAGGGTATGGTGAATGGTAGGCTAATCACAAAGCTGTCAGATGACCCTAGGGATGAGAAACCCCTGACACCCAACCACCTATTAATGCTGAGATCAGGTCCTGTGCTACCCCCTGGGAAGTTTGAAAGCCAGGACATGTATCACCGGAGATGGAAGCAGGTCCAGTACTTAGCAGATGTCTTCTGGCACAGATGGATTAGAGAATATCTGCCTATTCTTCAAGAGCATCAAAAGTGGTTTACACCAAAAGCAAATCTCAAAATAGGTGATTTAGTGTTGATGAAACAAGACAATATACCCAGGAATAAGTGGCCTCTAGGATTAGTTGAAGAGATACATGAGAGTGATGATAACTTAGTTCGCGCTGTGAAAATTAGGACTTCAACAGGTACCTATGAAAGGCCTATCACTAAAATATGTGTTAGAAAGTGCCACATAGATCAAGATAAGATGTCTCTAAAAATGAGTTAGTGTTGAAAAACATTTTTTAGATGAGGTACAGGCGGATCGCTGCCTCAGAGGATTTATAAACCACAAAGTTGTAAGACTAAGTGCTTAGAATTGGATTCAATAGTTCAGTGTTCATGTGTATCTGTATTATTTATTTGTGAACTTTAAATTGTACTATATGCCAGGTTGCCCAGGTGATTTTTAGTTTCTTGGAAATGCACCGTTCCAATAGGTGCATTTGGGGCCGGGATGTAGCACCTGGTTTGAGCTATTTTGAATTTCCCGCCAACGTTGGGTGCTGCCCTCTGTTGCGAGGCGGATGAAAGTGAGACATGTGAGCAGCCATTTGTGTTTGTGAAGCTGGTAATGTGCTTTATATAAAACCCTTCAATGTGATGGATTATGATAGTGTCAACACCTGGAGAACGCCAGAAACTGTGAGTTAAACCAGTAGAACCATGTGGACTAGTGTTTATTTAGGATTTTGTGTATCTTTCCCTTGCAAACATGACATGAAAGAGGCAACGTTACAGTAACAGTAATATCTGTGATTTATTATTTACCTTTCAAGGCCTTATGTTAATTTCTTATGCTAATTTCAAGATTATGAAGGATAATTATTTACGTGTCAATGATGCTATATGTTTTCATGTTTCTAAGTAGGCATGTTCTGATTCCTTACAGTTGGACCGTTTTGTAGGACGAATAAATGATCAAACCCAAGAAAACGAGTACCTTAGTTTGGCGTATTTAATTAACCACCATCAACACTAAGAAAGTTAACCAATAAAGCATAAGCATAACACAGTTAGATGTGTTACACCAATATTGTTACTATTACCATTATAATTGTTATATCATTATTATTATTAATAGTAGTAGTAGTATTTTATCATCACTCTTATTTTCACGATTATTATTACCATTATTATTACTATTGTTATTATTATCATTATTATTATAATCATCATTATCACCCTCTTTTTCGTCATCATCATTATCATCATGACTCATCACTATCTTCTCAACACTATGATATCAGTATCAATATGACCACTATTATTTTACTACTATGATATTAGTATAGTAGAAGTATGATTATTATTATTGTCATCAATATCATTCCTACTGATGCAACTTGTACAGGAGGCCTCCCTCATTCATCGTTACTGTAAACCACAAATCTGGAATGAGAAAAGAAAGGGGAGATAATTGCACAAATATCCCACAAAAATACATTACAATAGGATGTAATTGGAACTTGTAGCATGGTTGACAAGAGATATGTGTTCCGCTAACCAGCATACATTCACCATAATTACATAAAGAAGATAGTATTTATAATAGTTTGTTATACTACTCGAAATATTTAACAGTCTGTTATACCATTAGATACATAATTCGAAACAAAAATATACTCCATGACAGTATATACAAAAAAAATCGTACTTGGCGATCCTGGGAAAACGACGAGTTTTGTCAATGAAAACGGGAAGAAAAACAAATGACTCTCGATTCATTCTTTAAAAGGTGCCGTGTCTTAAACTGAAATGGTCAATTCTCTCCAGTTCACTTCCAGCTCTTCATCAGTTTTCCTCCATCATTTGCCGTCGTCTTGCAGTGGATGGCGTGGATGCGGAGGAAAGCGCAGTTGACGATCTCCCCCCCCCCTTCACTCACTACGTATACAAGTGGAGGCATTGCAGGGGGAACCGCGACAATAATTTCGACACTGATAGAAAATGTATTTATGGATTTATACACACACACACACACATACACACACACACACACACACACACACACACACACACACACACACACACACACACACACACACACACACACACACACACACACACACACACACACACACACACACACACACACACACACACACACACACACACACACACACACACACACACGTACAAGTATACACAAATCTCTATATGCGTGTACGTCTGCGTGTCGGTCTCCCCTGGATCAAACCAAAGACACGGACACGAAATATGTTGAATATCATAATTTCCTTAAATCGACGCCATTGTACATATCAGGCGTAGGAACATCATACTGTAGAGCAAACATAAAAAGGAAAGTAAATCGATAAGTATAATGTAACAAGAACTTTGAGGGGAGACTGAGGTCGATTCTTCCCGCTGATTGGCTGGGAGACGCGCCACAGTCACAGCTGATAGGTCATTAGTGCCTTTTCCCCCACAAACGGTCTTTTTTATAGGTTTTATACGGAAAACCTACCTTATTGCCATCATCATTATTCTAATTCGGAGTATATAGGTCTTTACATATATTCTTATACTTTGTCAGTATGTCTGAGTTTCACTTCGTTCTCTTTCTCTTTTTTCCTTTTTCTCTTCACACACGCATATGTGTGTGAATATATAAACATACGTGATAAATTTATGTGTATTTGTGTGAGTGTGTGTGTATACATACATACACACTTACTTATCTATGTGTATGTATTCATGTACTTATATAAATATGTATAAATGCATACATACATATGTAATATATATAACGTATGCATGTATCTATATATACACATATACAAATATATACATATATACACACAGGCATATATATTTATATAATACATATACACATATAAATATAAACATATATGTATATATATGTATATATTCATATATTTATGATATATATATATATATATATATATATATATATATATATATATATATATATATATATATATATATATGCGTGTGTGTGTGTGTGTGTGTGTGTGTGTGTGTGTGTGTGTGTGTGTGTGTGTGTAAACTTCTTAAACAAACAAGTTCAAAAACGAAAGAAAAAATCCAAAAAGAAAAAATAATTAAGAAAGTCACGAGGGATTTCTCAGCCCGACGTTTCTCCCGCCTCCCCCCCTCCCCCCTCCCCCCCCCGCCTCACGAAATTCCCCCATGTTTTCACGGCTGGACGGGCAACATGGGAGGGAAATAACGGGGCTGGACACATCAGCGATTATGGTAATTTTGTCTAGGCAGGGATTGCTTTGAATTGGATGTTATTGTTCTGTTTACTTTCTTTCTTGTAAAGACTGAGGGTCTTATGAAGTGACTGGTCTAATGGGTTTTATTCGTTTTTATTCATTGTCAATATTGTTGTTGATTTTATCATCATCATCATTGTTAATGCCATCAAGTAGTCCACAGTTACACAAGTACTTGGGATATTAGGAATTACACCAAACTGTGACGCGCCGAACCGATCCTCTCACTTCGCGTGGCAAATCCTCCAGGCACGGCCACCTGATCGGGCCTCATCTGAAATAGAGGGAGTCGGCAGGGTCTTTGGTACGTGTCCGTGAGAAGAACGTGGCACAAGCACCTTATAGTACAGTTGCGGACTAATGACTTTTAATGAATTGAAGCTTCGAATCTGTCTGACCTTAAACAAAAAGTGCGGTATTTAGCGGGTGTTCGAAACGGAATCCGAAACATGAACCATATTCATGTTGACAAATGTAGAAAAAGTTATGAATTAGAATATGTTCACAATACACGAGGTGTATTTGACCGGTTTCGAATATATCTTCGTCAAAAATGCATGAAACCGGTCAAACACATCTCTTGTATTGTAACGATATTCATTCTTATCCATGCCTTTCCTACAATGCGAAACATATTCGACAATTTTTTTGACCGTGACTTGGGAAGATCAACCGCTTAGGTAATCTTTCGGACATCGTTAAGGCACAAGTAGCCTCTTGCAGTTGCTAACTTGTAGAAGTAAAGAAAAATTAGTTTGATTTAGGCTCGAGCATACACTCTTTGGTATAAGAAAAAACACTTATGTAATTTGTCATGCTTGAAATCATCCTTCTTTCTCTGTTTGCATCCTTCTACTTTGTCTCTGTCTGCCAGTTGCTCTCTCTCTCTCTCTCTCTCTCTCTCTCTCTCTCTCTCTCTCTCTCTTTTCACAACCCCTTTTCTCTGTCTCAGTTTCCTTTTCACTTTTTCACACGGACCTTCCCACCCTCTCACCCTACCTCTCAATCATGCTTATCACCCCCACCTTATCATTATCATTAAACTCATCATTCAGCATTACCATAGCCATCATGCACACAACCATTGTTTTATCCACCTTTAAAACCAACGAGAATCGCCTCCCACTTCCCGCCAAAATTCGAATCCAAAGCATTCCTTACCTTAAAACCCCGATATAAAGACTCTGATCATCACGCGAACTGCACATAAATCCTACTACAAAAGCTAATAGTTGTTTGGCCGCGACGACAGAAAGGAAAACAAGAAAAGAAAGAAAGAGAAAGAAAACGTGGTCATGCAAAATATTTTGAACATCTGAAAAATAGTTTTGCTGGTTATCGTTATGGATAATGATTTTTGTCTTTGTGCTTTTTCTG